ATAGCTTTGAAAACTTTTGAAACCTTATTTAAATAATTTTAAAAAATTTAGCAAAGCATGTTGTTAATGCAATAAAAGGAAGTTTAAACAACATATGTATCGTTTCGAGAACCAAATGCAATTTAACAACCTGGTTAAAAATGGATTTTAAGCATGATTTTTTAAGGAAAAAAAAACTAAAATTGGGTTCATTCATTGAGGAAAAAGATGGATTTTTTATGAGTCCCATGAAGTAAATCAACTTGATATTATGCAAGGATGATGAATTTGAGTGGAAACAAATTTTAGTAGAGATTATTTGAGAGAGGGCTAGTAAAGGGTTTTGATAAAGTGAAAGGTTTGGGTATTTTTGAGAAAAAAAGAAACTTTCTCACGCGTACAGAGGTTCCGATCTCGATATCAGGATTAATGGTATCATTACTGCCTAACCGATATCGATACTCTCATGCGGTATCAATACCAATTTTCAACACTGGAATTTTTAGTCTCAATACCAATATCTTAGTCTCAATACCAAGTGCTCGAAAATGTCAAATTTGACATTCTTAACCCTCAAAAGCTTCCGAAATAAGCATCTATTGAATTTAAGACTTTAGAATGCACTAGAAACTTATTTAAGCATTAAATATTATAATTTGGTACTAAATTAATTTTTTTAGGTGCTTTACTAAAGTGTATATTATGGACTTTTTAAAGAATTTTCTAGTTATAACAAATAAGGTCCAAAACAAACCACAATGATTAATTTAAGGCCAAAGGATAACAAATTAAACATACAAGGCCACAAAAATACAATTCATGCAATATTAACTCCACCTAACTAATTGGAGACACATATTCAAGCACAAAAACATATGTAATCACATAAAAGTACAAAATTGCATGAAATTGAAATATTTTACCACTTGAATTAAGATTGATTTGTTAAATCCAATGTTATTAAAACCGGACCGGACCGGCCGGTTCGACCGGTTGAACCGTGAATCGGTGGCCTGTCCGGTCCTGTTAACTCCCAAAACCGGATTAGCACAGAACCGGTAAAGAACTGGAAGAACCGGCTGAAAATCGGGAAAATCGGGGTGAACCGGCTGAAAATCGGCAAAACCGATTTGAACCGCCGGTTCACTTTTTTTCTTTAAAAAAAATTAAACCAAACGACATCGTTTGTTCAACGAGCCGAGTCAAATTCGAGTATTGCTGAGCTCGAATCGAACTCGAAAACTTTAAAAGTAAGCTCAACTCGACTCAAAAACTCACGAGCTAAAAATTATCAACTCGAAATATATATTAAAACTTGAAATCGAAAAGACTCGAACTCAAAAACAAATTTAGAAGTTCGATTGAAGCCTAAAATTTGAGCTCAATTGAAGCCTAAAATTTGAGCTCAATTGAAGCGAAAGAATAGTTCGCTTTGTGCTCACCAAAAGGCTCCATGATTTTGAATGTCAAATTACCTCTATTATTTATAGAAGTAAGTTGGGATGCTCTTTTATGTTTCTTAGCCATGTGGGATTGTTTTGTTCTCATATTTTTACTCTTTAAACTTTTGGGATACTCTTCTATGTTTCTTAGCCATGTGAGATTGTTTTTTTTAAAACAATTAAACCAAATGACATCATTTGTTATGATTTTTTTAAACCCCAATTTTATTTTTTTGATTATAGTTATATAATTGTATTTATTATTTAATATGTTTTACCTTAAATATTATGTTGTAGTTGATTTGAATCATTTTGTTTCACTTGATTTTATGGTTTTTCATTTATACATGTTATGACTTGTGATATTTTTATACCTTTTAATATTGTAAACTTAAAAAAAGTGTTACATATATATTAATATTGCTTTGAATATTATGTAAAATTAAAAAACTATATTATTTTATATAAAATCCGGTTCAACCGCGGTTGAACTCGGTTGAACCAGTGAACCAGTACCTTCACCGGTTCAATGTCCGGTCCGGTTTTAAAAACATTGGTTAAGTCTCCCTTTCTTCAAGTGTCATTCCTTAGTGTGTCTAGAGCCTTTAAATACCTTGACATTGCTCACCTTTTCTCCAACACACCTACAATAGACAATTATGCAACTTTTGGTGCCTAAATCTTTTTGGGTCCATTAATGTTAGTTTCAAGTAATTTAGTCCCCTTAGGTATCTATAAAGATAGGATATCATTATCATTAGTAGCAATGAGTCCTTTAGGGACCCATATACTGTTAACCAATTTTCCTTTAAAATATTTAGGGGAATAAGCATGTTTATAGTAAAAACTATTTTTTAAAAAAATTTGATTTGGAGTAATCTCTTCTTTCAAATTTATTTTTAATGATTTTGTCAGAATTAGCCTTTTCTTTCTCAAGATTGTCAATTTTCCTTTGATTATCCTCATGAACTTTGGAAAGCAAATTTTGTAAGTCTAAAATTTTTTCCTCAAAAATATTTAATTTTTCTTGTAGATCATTGACTTTGCTTTCAAGTTCACTATTAGTTTTAGAAAGTGAGTCATTTTCAATTTTAAATTTTGAATGAATCTTTTTGTGTTTTGAAATCATGATTTCAAATTCTAACACTAATTCATCATAGGCAACTCGTAACTCATCAAATGTTTATGAATTTGAATTAGATGAGTTAGAGGATCCCTTTGAATCTTATTATATGGCCATGAGAAAAAGGTTGCCTACTTCTTCATTTTCATCATCGTTAACGTCTTCATGAACAACTTTCCATCGCTAACATAGGGGTTTAATCCCTAGAACAATTTCCTCGGCTACAAAATCTCCATAAGCTTATCCTTTCTGATAACAGAATAATCAGTGGACATGAGTTCCTCGTTGAAGGTGGCCTCGACTCGCTTCAAGACCTCGACTTATCCAATAATCAGATTCAATATATTAAGGATCTTGCCCTCCTTGCTCAGCTTAAGTTGTTTCGCTCGACCTTTATCAGTGTCTAATTACCAGAGTTAAGTTTTATCGTTCTAGAGTTTTTGTTTGATTAAATCATTGAAATATTTGGATAAAATGGAAGATAAGGGGAATAAAAGGTAATAATCAGATGAGGAGGATGAAGATAAAGATGAAGAGGGGGAGGATCCAAGGAGTGGGGAAATCGATGGAGAGGAACGACCCAACAGAATGAATAATGGGTATAGTAAAGAGGAGGAAGGGATTGCTGATGAGGATGAAGATGATGATGATGACAATGATGCTGATGAAGAATAGACTGAAATTGGTAGAAGAGTAAATGTGCAGAGCCATGAGGCCAACATGTTTCGTATAGAGCAAGTAGGGAGAGATGATGACGAGGATGACGAGGATGACAAGGATGAGAATGTTTCAGATGAGGAAGTTGATTATGATGATGATGATGAAGAGGAAGAAGAAGATGTTGGGGGTAGTGATGACGAGGGGAGAGTATAAACAAGTGTTTTAATTTTTTCCATTAAATTTAAATAGAGTATCTATTAAATATCATGTAGTTCATTATTTAACCAAATAAGGAGCTTGCTCTAATGGCAAAGGTTGTGCTATTCCATAGCCTTTATCTAGGTTCAATTCATCTTACCCTTGTTTCCCTTTTTAATAGCTGCATAAAACAAAAACAATAAGAGAGTGACACGTGTCATTATCTCCGACATGGACATGTCACGTTAGCTTCCACGTCCATGTGTGCTTGCTCCGTCAGCATCTGGCGTTGATCGTCAGTTAACTGAAGGTTTCCATCCATCAAGGGTGATTTTTGACCCAAAGTTAAACGTTCAATGGTCAAATGTTAAAAAACAATACGGGCAAGTTTGATATTACTGTCAAACATTAGGGTTATTTTATTGCCTTATGCCAATATTTTATCATATATTTTAAGAAATGTGACTTTCTGCATCATCTTTTTCTTTCTTAACGAAATTGTGTAAATATACTTCAATGAACTCTATCATTGGATTTTATGATTTATGTCTACATACGGGTAGATAATTTCGTTCTTCGATTTAAAATCTATATTTATTCTGTTTTGTTCGATTCAATAATAATATCAATTTATTTTATTATTATTTATCGTTTTTATTTTTCAGATTAACGTTTTGTCTAATAATTAGATGTTCTATCACTTTATTTTCTGCTGAAAACTGTCATCAAGTTAAGTTTAAGAAATGGAACTGGACACCGGAAAAGATGCATTTGACCGTGTTGTTAAGAGAACTTATCCTCCTCTAAATCCCAAGAAATAGTTGATCAAGTTGGCCATGAAATTAATCAGGTATTGGCAAAAATCAAGGCTATTAATGATCATGGGTCTACTGTTTATCTGAAATTCAATCTTTTTGAGCTAAAAACTTAAGCTCGATACTGTTGGTCCACTCAACCAGTTACAAGGAATGTGGAAGGTTTGTTTGACCTTGGAGATTTCCTCATTGATGAAGTTGGAGAACCAAAGGCAATTTTGATTGGTTCTCATTTCCTACAAATGTATCAAGTACTTGAATCTACGAGGTTAAAGGACCTTGAGCCTGCTCTGAACCGGATCGCTGCCGATACTGAGAAGCTCGACCAAAATGGTTTGTGTAGAGCATTTGAGCTAAAACTTCACAGGCTTCAATATGTGGAAATGGTAAAGAAAGGAAATAAAGCTGATGCACATATGCTAGAGCTTACCTTGCCCCATTTGCTGCATCATATTGGTAGGAAAGCTCAACAGCTGCCCTCATGTCGAGTTAACCGCTCCAACACAACGGGAAGAATTTACGGAGGAGATCACGAAACAGTTTTGCAGTCTCGAGGGGCAGTCCTATTGGAGCCGATTGAATATGGCCATAGCAGCTAGCGTTGGAGGTTTGCCTAAAGTGCTGAACCTGGCTAATGCAGTGGCTGCAAAGAGACAGGAGTGGCAAGAAATCAAACAGTTACCAGTCCTAGTGGTGTTAGGAGAGGACCTCCAGTTTCACTCGATATTTGTATGTCCTGTGAGTAGAGATCAAGACACAACAAAATCCACCAATGCTAATGCCTTGTCCGCATGTTCTTTGCAATAAACCATTTGTGTATATATACATACAAAGAAATTCTGTGTACACCCATGGATTACGTTTTCAAGGTTTAATCAACTGCATAAAAGGATATGATGAAAATGAATAAACAACTATAAAGATTAACCATCTGGTATAGCACAATAACTAAAACTGAAAAAGCAATTATCAATTAAACAACTAGCTTACTACAATTTTCATACAATTCAAGCATCTTCTGAAATCCCCAACATTCTTTTCAAACCAGGAAACCTAGGTGAAGCAGATTTGTCATCCTGCAAATATTCATCCACCATTTCCTTGACCGATCTCACAGATAATGGATGAAAATAAACACCCCAATCATCAACAAACTTGCTAACCAAAACCCATTTCTCATCTTCTTTCATCTTCGTCCATTTCTTGTTCATTTCCTCTTCCTGCAAAGAAAAATACTGGCACAACTCTGCAAACAACAACCCTTTGCTTTTCTTCATGGCTTTCTCTTTATCCTCCAAATGGGTATTAATCTTTTCCACGGTTATGGCCAAATCTAAAGCCAGGGCTGAGTCGCTGAGGCTCTTTTTGGCGCATGAGATGTTGTGGACCTTGTTGGCGATGAAGGTTGTGGTGGGGAAATTCCGAATTCGTTGGAGATTATTCGGGGAAAACTTAATCTGAGACATGTTCAGGAACACCGCCATTTTCAAAGGTTGTCGGGAAAAAAGTATTTGGCTTTAGATAATCGGAGGTACGGCAGAATTCGGGTTTTGCTGAATTTCGCAATTAGAACACACTAGATATAAAGCAATAGCCATTGAAATGAATTTGGCCCCTTTTATGGCGTTCAACAGGGTTTTCTGGGTAAATTATACAAATATGCCACTTAACTTTCTTTTTTCTCTTATTTTAGTCATTTAAGTTTAATACTTTTTGTTTTAATAATTAAACTTTATATTGAATTTTTCTGTAACTGTTATAACATTTTTAAATTAATATATTTTCTTTAACATTTAGCTTAATCCTTGTTTAACTATAAAATGAATATAATTAAACTTCTTTTAAAATAAAAGATAAGAATTAAATAACAGAAAATAATTAAATAAAAGAAAATAATTAAATAAATAATATAAAGAGATTTAGATAAAGATAAACTTATAATGAAAGCAACCTCAGACTTCAGCTTTGCCTCAAATTCCTCGGATCATCGAAACATATTTTTTCTTCAAACACGTTGGCTTACAAGGATAATTTTTCGCTGCCGACTCGAATTATGTTGTTTCAACAATAACTGATTTCGATCTCAGTTTCTTCTTAGTAAACAATTTTGCTAAGTGTGTTCTTAGGAAGTCGAATGTGCTTCAATAAGTCAATCCTTCTTATAATTCTCACGTTTGGAATTGAGCTTTCGTTTTAGCCCTCGGCTTAAAAGAAAATTAGCTAAGCATGACCAATGTCATACTTAGCATATTTGAAAACGAATATGCGAAAATAGAGAGAAAGCTAGAGAGAAAAAGAAGATTTTATTCTCAAATGTGTGTCCGCCTAGACTCACCCTTAGAGGGTATTTATAGACTTGAAACTCCTAAAAACAAGTTAAAGATAATTCCTAAAATAATATATTTTATTCTAATTAAAACTATTTAAACTAAAATATCTAAAACAAAGATAAAATAAAATAATATTTTAAATAATATTTTAAATCCTAATTGAAATACTAACATCTATTTAAACTATAATACAAAGATAAAATATAATATTAATATATATATATATTAAATAAGCCTCAGACGAAAGTGGGTGTCTACACATTTGTTATTAACGCATAATCAAGAATTTTCTTGCTGGAGAAAAAAGAAAAATGGTTTTCATCAATGATTTCCCCAATACATAACGACAATCTTCTTGCAAGCACCCTCACGAGAATTTCATACACGCTTCAATTAAGGCTTATATGTCGATAATCTTTCAATGATGATGGGAATTTCGCTTTGGGAATTAACATTATGAACAAATAATTCAACGCCATGTCAAAATTGTTTCCTTCATAGAACTTGCTAAAAAATCCAACACATCGACTTGAATTTCATCCCAGTATTTTAGAAGAAGTGCATGTTGAAGCCATCCGAACTTGGAGCGGGCGAGCCATCAGTAGAAGATATGACAGACCATACTTCTTCCAAAGAAAAAAACCTCTCCAAACTAACTACAACCTAATGTAGTTGGCTGAAACACATGTCCTATCTAGCCAAATTGATTGTGTGTCTTTCACTAAAAGCTTGCTTGAAGTAATTGGTGAAAGCTTCCGAGATATCAGTTAAATCGATATGGATGCAGTTACCTGTTGAAAGTCAATTAAGGGGGCATCGAATTTGGTGGATTGGGCATCAAATTCGATGCATTTAATTTTTGTTGAAAATAATAATGGGGGAATTGCATTTTAGTCCCTATAATTTAGGGTATTTACAAGATTAGTCCTTAAGCTTCAACGCATTTAGCTTCAAAATCATCCCAAATCATTTCTTTCTCCCAATACTAAAGAGTTTAGAGAGCTTTCTTGTGAGTTGTGAGTGTTATATAAACACCTGTAAATTTTCTCTCTTTAGTAAAAGATCTACAGCAGTCCGGAGATGTAGGCATAATTGGTTGAACTCCGTTATCAATTTCAGGTATTATTTTTCCGCTTTTATTTCACATTCTCACTAATCTGGTAATAGGAAAATTACTCGTTTATTTCCCAACAACTGACATCATAGCTTTTGGTAGTGAATTTTGTCGGTTTTTCTACGATGTTACTATTCATTATTATTTACATGAATGGTGAATTTCGTGAATAGTGAAAATTTTATCGGCGATATGAATTTGTCGACGGAGGTGTTGTAATACACGGCGGTTCGTATAAATTGTCAGAAACGATCTAAACGAAGCCAAATTCGAGTGGAAGCGATGGCTGCAGACGAAGGGAAAGTGAAAATTGAGAAGTTCGATGGTGCGGACTTTGGATTTTGGAAGATGCAGATTGAAGATTTTCTGTACCAGAAAAATCTATATCAACCTCTCCCAGGAAAGCAACCAGAGGGCATGAAGAATGAAGACTAGGCTCTTCTCGACAGACAAGCCCTCGGAGTTATCCGACTGACGTTATCCCGCAATGTTGCATTCAACATAGCAAAGGAAAAGACCACGACAGGTCTTATGGCGGCTCTCTCCAGTATGTATGAGAAGTCATCGGCCTCAAACAAAGTTCATTTGATGAGACGATTATTCAATTTGCGGATGGCGTAAGGGGCATCAATGGCTCAACTCCTAAATGAACTCAACACAATCACAACCCAGTTGAGTTCCGTGAAAATTGAATTCAATGATGAAGTTTGAGCTTTAATTCTCTTATCATCTCTACCAGACAGTTGGAATGCTACTGTTACAGCAGTCAGCAGATCGTCGGGAAACAGTAAATTGAAATTCGACGATGTTCGGGATCTGGTATTGAGTGAAGAAATTTGACGTAGTGAATCGGGTGAAGCATCAAGCTCATCAGCCTTGCACACGGAGTCTAGAGTGAGAACTTCAAAAAGAAATCCAAATCGTGGCAGATCGAAATCTAGAAGGGGAAAATCAAGAACAGGAAATAAAGATTTTAACTGTTATAATTGTGGCAAGAAGGGTCACTTTAAAAGAGATTGTCAAGCACCGAAGAAAGATATCGACGCATAGGAATCTACCAACATAACAGAGGAGATAGGTGATGCCATAATTCTAAGCGTCAACAGTTCAATTCAAGAAATCATGGAGAACTATGTCAGAGGTGATTTTGGGAAAGTTCATCTAGCTGATAATGAAACCTTGAAGATCGTCAGAAAAGGAGACATCCGATTAAAGTTGCCAAACCAGACCACCTGGAAGCTGAAAGGAGTGAGACATATTCCTGGCCTCAAAAGAAATTTGATTTCTGTAGGACGGCTTGATGGAGAATGATATAGTACAACCTTTTTAGGTTGTGAATGGAAGGTTACCAAAGGAGCACTCGGCATTGCTCGTGGTAAGAAGACGGGTACTCTCCATGTAACCTCAAACTTGGAGAATATCATTGCAGTAGCAGATGCTGATGGAAAATCAAACATATGGCACCAAAGGCTTGGCCATATGAGTGAGAAATGGATGAAGACACTTTTGTCAAAATAGAAGCTTCCGGATCTAAATAATATAGATGTCGAACTATGTGAGGATTGCATCTTTGGAAAACAAAAGAAAGTCAGTTTTGAAAAGATTGGCAAGACACCTAAGGCAGAAAAATTAGAGTTGGTTCATACTGATGTATGGGGACCATCTCCAGTTCTATCTCTTGCAGGCTCACTATATTATGTCACCTTCATCGATGGTTCTACAACTAAGGTGTGGGTTTATTTTCTGAAGAAGAAATCAGAAGTCTTTGATACCTTCAGAAAATGGAAGGTCATGGTGGAAAATGAGATTGGTTTGAAAGTCAAACGGTTGAGGTATGATAATAGAGAATAATATTGAAATAGTAGATTCAAAGAATTTTATGCAAACAATGTGATTAAGATGGAGACAACAGTTCCCATGACACCATAACAGAATGGCGTAGCAGAGCGCAAGAACAGAACTCTGAATGAACGTGCTAGAAGTATGAGGATACATGTCGGCTTGCCCAAATTGCTATGGGCTGAAGCTATCAACACTGTAGCTTACCTGATAAACCGTGGGCCCTCAGTTCCCTTGGATGACGACCAGAGGAAGTTTGGAGTAGAAAAGAAATAAACCTTTCACACTTAAGAGTGTTTGGTTGTATTTCTTATGTACATATAATTTCTGCTGAAAGAAGTAAACTTGATGCTTAGTCTAACAAATGTGTCTTTATTGGTTATGGTGGTGATGAGTTCGGTTACCAGTTTTGGGACTATGAAAATTAAAAGATCATCAGCAACAGAGATGTCATTTTCAATGTGAATGTGATGTACAAAGACAAGTCAACCATAGAATCAAGTAGCTCCAATACCAAAGCTGAAACAAAGGAATATGCTGAGTTTGAGAAGATTTCTGGAAATGATGTTCAGATCAGTTCTAAAGAAGTTCAAGAAGAACCAGACGCACCAGAATTGAGACGCTCCTTTATAATTCCTAAACCAACCCAGCGTTATTCACCTTCTTTGCACTACTTGTTGCTGACTGACAATGGTGAACCAGAGTGCTATGATAAAGTAATGCAGGTTGAAGAAGAGCTTGTATAGTTTAAAACAAGCTCCTAGACAGTGGTACAAGAAGTTTGATAGCTTCACGAGTAGTGGTGGTTTTACCAAATGCCAAGTAGATCATTGTTGCTACATCAAGAAGTTCGACAACAACTTCATTATTTTATTGTTGTACGTTGATGACATGCTCGTTGCAGGCTCAGACATGCAAGAGATTATAAACTTGAAGCAAAAAATGTCGAAGCAGTTTGCAATGAAAGATCTGGCCGCTGCAAAGCAGATTCTTGGGATGAGGATTAAGAGAGACACAAAGTCAGGGACTTTGATGTTATCACAGGTTGAGTACATCAACAAAGTACTCTCCAAGTTCAACATGCAAGATGCTAAACTAGTAAGTACAGCTTTAGGTGTTCATTTTAGACTCTCCAAAGAACAGTTACCAAAGACGGAGGAAGAACGTGCACACATGGTAAAGGTGTCGTATTCCTCAGCAATTAGAAGTCTGATGTATGCCATGGTTTGTACTAGACCAGATATTGCTCATGCAGTGGGAGCTGTTAGCAGGTACATGAATAATCCAGGAA